CTGGGTTGGGGTTTGGGTATTATTTTATCCCAAGTTTCTTCTTCCCTCCTTTCTCCATATCTTCACTAAGGCTGCAATTACCGAGATGTGTGAAGCACAATTTATCTACTTGGAAACTGGAAATCTTGGAGCCAGGCTGGGAGAGCTTGAAATGTCCAGACTGGAGAAGGGAAGGCTCCAGGGAGAGCTCAGAGCCCCTTCTAGTGCCTGAAGGGGCTCCAGGAGAGCTGGAGAGGGGCTTGGGGAGATTTTCCTGCTGATCCAAAGGACAATCTCCAGCAAGGAAACGTTCATTCCACCCATCAGCCTCGTGATTCCTTATTTCCCACATTTTGGCTGTCATTTTTTAAATGTTTTGCAGGAAAAACAGTCCCAATATTTCATATTTTCTGTGGAAGCGAAGAAAATCCTTGAGGTGCTGATTTTCCAAATTATTTTGTTCTTCCCCAAGCGAATAAAACCCGTAAACAAAGAGCAGCAGAGCCCCAAGTGTGCAAAGCAGATAAAACTCCAGCCTAAAATTATCCAGGAAACAAAAAGCTGAGCCAAGGAGCTGGAACAACACAACACCAGGATGGAACCTTTGGAAAAGCAACCCATCATCAATCTCAAATCCTTTAAAACAAACACTGTCCCTTGGGATATTTCACTTCCCAATGCAGCCAGGGAGTTCTGCCTGTCCCAGCTCTGATCAAATCACATCTCTGGGACAAGCTCACGATTTCCCTGCTTGGAAAGGGAGATTGAGTAAATTATTTTTGGTGCTTTGTGGCATTTTTATGTGGAATATGGGAAGAACAAGCTTGTTGGGATAAAATATTTTGGGAGAAAAGGCTTCAAAATACAAATAATTTATGGAGTCTGACCCTAAAAACTGCTAAAAAAATGCCCCAAACCGTCTCTTTTTTCCAAGTCTTGCACACATGGGAACAGGCTGGGAACCAGGCAGGCAGGAATGAGAGATCTCCTCCCTTTGGGTGGCCTCAGAGCGGCTTCAACTGATCCCAAATCCCACCCAGAGTTTCATAATGGCTTTAAACTGACAGGAATTGGCACTTGTGCCCAAAAAAATCCTCCTCCACTCCCAGCTGCTCCTTCCCTCCCTCGTGCTGGCACAGGGAGTCGAGCGCTTTGCATAAATGAGCTCAGAACGAGCTGCTCTGAATTGAAATTAATTCAGCACACGTGGAGGAAAAGCTCCTTTTTAAACCCAGGGAAGCCGTGGATCCACCGCTCCCACAAAACCCAACCTCGGGAAAAGGCGACCTCAAAGCTGTTTTACCAATTTACACCAACATTTGTGAGGAGAAAATGAAAAGTTTGGAGGATCTTGGACCGCTTGGGGTCATTCTCGGATGTTTTCCATCGGGAGAGCTTTGGGATGGGGAAGTTTTCCAGGGATGGAGAAGCAGCATTTTAAGCATGAATTGGATGTTCTCCAGGGAATTGAGAGGAGCATCCTGCCTCGGGACAAGCAGCTGGCAGAAACCTCCCCTGGGATTTGTGCAGAGGGCAAAGGACAGACGAGGATGTTAAAATATTAAAATAAACCTTTCTTTTTCTTCTGGCTTTCCAGCGCATTCCTGTCACAAGCAACATATCCAAAAAGAATTCATGGCACTTTCAATTCACAGCACAAAGTTTCTATGACACTTTGTAAGTCTAATTTAATTTTTTTTTAAAGAGGAAAAAAAAAAAAAAAAAACCAGCAAGTGCAAGATTTTAAGTGTGAGTAAACATCCCAGGGAAGGGAACACATGGAAGAGGAATTAAATTGTCACGTTCAGCCCAAAAATAAATCCTTTCAGTGTCCTGAAACATCATCCCAGTGCAGACCCAGTGACAAGTGTGCCAGAGGATCCCTGGATCCTGGAACACCCAGTTCTGCCAGGGATCCATTTGCAGGAGCAGCACGTGTGGGACCTCACGGAATCATGGAATGATTGGATTGGAAAGGACCTTCAAAGTCATGGAATTCCACCCCCCACCTGGGCAGGGACACTTTCCACTATCCCAGGTTGCTCCAAGCCCTGTCCAACCTGGCCTGGAACAATTCCAGGGATGGGGCAGCCACAGCTTCTCTGGAATGTCTTCCAGCACTTGTGAGTCTCTGGGATTGTTGTGTCAAGGTTTCAGGGAGATGCCTTACTTGAAGTGTAAAAAAATGGGAGAGAACACAGGAGGAAGTGGAAAATCAAGAGTGAAGGCTTAAAACCTGTGTAGTTCCAAGGTCAGTGGTTGTTCCCTGCAGCCTTTTCCTGAAGGATTGGGAAGAGTCTGGAGGTGAGTGACCCATTCCCTCCTGTGCCAGCACCATCCATGGCACAGACCCATGGGATGAGTCCTGGCTGCAAGACTTTTCCTTTTTTTCCTTTTTCTTTTCCTTTTCCTTTTCCTTTTCCTTTTCCTTTTCCTTCTCCTTCTCCTTCTCCTTCTCCTTCTCCTTCTCCTTCTCCTTCTCCTTCTCCTTCTCCTTCTCCTTCTCCTTCTCCTTCTCCTTCTCTTCCCCTCTGTCCTTCTCCTTTTTATTTCTCCTTCTCATTTTTCTCTCCTCCTCTTCCTCCCCACCCTCCTTTTCCTTCTCTTTTTCTTTGTCTCCTTCTCCTTCCCCTTCTCCCCTTTTTTCTTCTCAACATTTCCAGGGATGGGACATCCACAACTTCCCTGAGCAGCCCGAACCAGCATCTCACCATCCTCATAGTGAAAAATTCCTTCTTTTTCTCCAGCCTAAAGCTCTCCCCTTTCTGTTTAAATCCATCTCCCCTCACCCTGTCACTCCAGGCCCTACTAAAAACCCTTCTTCCCATTCCTACAGAAATCCATGGACACAGCCCCAGCTCCGAGAGAAACTCAGCAGTTATTTACCACTGAAGAAATCTGCTTCTTCTCCAAAATGTTTCTCCTATTTTAACTCCAATGAGGGGAAAAAAAAAAGTGCTTCCCAAGGGCAAACAAACACTCAACTCACATTTTTTTGCTGATAACAGCAAGACTCCAGAGCAGGGCTCAAGGGAAAGAGATTTCTTCTGGGTTAGTTGGAAAACAGAGAGGAAAATGTCAGGAATGGGAGAAGAAAAGGCTGCAGGATCCTAAAGGAAAAGCTGCTGTCATTTATCGAGTGGGTGTTGGTTTTTTGTTTGGTCTGGTTTTTGGGGATGGTTCTTGCCTCTGGTGGCACTGCCAGGGCAGGAGCTGCACACGGACCTGAATCCACGTGTTTGGGAAAGGGAGAAACCAGAGGGGCGATCTCTGTGCTTCCACGTCATTGTCATTCCCAGTAGGAATTATTTTCCAAGGTATTTCAAGCGGGGATGGAGAGCAAATCCTCTTCTTTCTCTTCTGTGCTCACCCACTGAATTCAGGATGGCTCATTTGGCAATTCCATGGAGGCAGAAGGAAAAACCATGGATCAAAAACCTCAGCTACAAATCATTTAACCCAAAAATGTCCTAAATCCTCTGGTACTCTGGGAATGGGATCATGGGGGCTGTGAGATCCCACAGCAAAATGAGTTTCCTTTACAGGACCCAGCTCTGGGATCCCCAACAGCAGAAGGACATGGAGATGCTGAAGCAGATCTAGAGGAAGCCATGGAGATGCTCCAAGGGCTGGAGCCAGGCTGGGAGAGCTGGGAATGTCCAGCCTGGAGAAGAGAAGGATCCAGGGAGAGCTCAAAACCCCTTCCAGTGCCTGAAGGGGCTCCAGGAGAACTGGAGAGGGAATTTGGGAAAAGGGGTAGAGGGACAGGACACAGGGAATGGCTTCCCACTGCCAGAGGGCAGGGATGGATGGGATATTGGGAAGAATTCTTCCCTGTGAGGGTGCTGAGGTGCTGGAATGGAATTCCCAGAGAGGCTGTAGCTGCTCCTGGATCCCTGGCAGTGTCCAAGGCCAGGTTGGACAGGGCTTGGAGCAACCTGGGATAGTGGAAGGTGTCCCTGCCCACGTCAGGGGGTGGAACTGGATGAATTTGAGGGTCCCTTTCAACGCAGGCCATTCCATGATTCTGACATGACTCCACCATATCCTGGCAATGGAAACGTGGCTTTTCCCTTGCCAGTTCCAAGGGATAGAATCAATCCACCAGGAAACCGTGGCAGAATTCCCAAAAATATTTGTTCATGTGAAAACACCTATATTGATCCAGCCTCGGCTGTGAAGGGGAGAGGACTTTGCTCCCCGACCGCTTGGGCCTTGGACTTTCCTTGCTTGGAAAGGTTGAGAAAGAAATCCATACACTGCCAGTTGTAAATATTTGGATTGGGAATATGGTTTGGATGTCCAGCAGAGCTCTTCCAGGAGCGTGAGGCCATCCAGGGATCTGCTTCTATCCCAATTTAAAGCTGCCCTTGCAAAATTCCCACCTTGCGGGACCTGCCGCTCCAGTGTTCCTGTCAAAAAAAAAAAAAAAAAAAAAAAAAAAAAAAAAATTGCAAATCCTTTTGGATTCAGGAAATTTCACCAAAGCACCAAAGAGAGGGGAAACAAACTTCCTGACGATCTGAGCCGTGGCTTTTGCTGGAAAAGCTGAGGGGAAAGCAGCATCAGACATTCCTTTGCAAGACCTGGATGAGAGGGAAGGATGTTCAGGATGAAGGGGGTGAATTTTTGAGACCTTTTTGTTTTTTTGCTTTTTTTTTTTTTTTAACTTGATTCCTCTCCCAGCTGGATCTCTGGAGTCCTGTGGGCCGCACCACTCAGCAAAACAGAGGTCGATGCACATCCAAAAGTCACAGAGGGAATTCAGCTTGCTTGATTCCTCCTGGGACCAGTTTTTCCTGGCATTTCACCCACTGAAGCTCCCTGTGTATTGGTGGGGCATCTTTTGATGGAGCTTGGCACATCCATGGCTTTTTCCTTGTCCTCCCGACAGCTCCACGATGTCCCAGTGCTTCCCCTGACCTGCACAGATGAATCACATCCAGGTTTTTAAGAAGATCCATGAATTTTGGGCGCTCAGCAGCACCAGTCTGGGGACACACCATTATTCCTGGGGGCCACATGGAGACTCCAGCTCCTCTGCCCCTTCCCGCCTCTGTAGGGGGCTTTGCTCTGGAACTCCTTTCTTCAAGCTTTGCTCCAGAGAGGCTAAAATTAAACCAGTGATTCCATTGCTGACTGAAAACAGAGCATTCCTTCTCCACCCACGTGCTTTGGATGGACATCAGAAGCCAAACCCCGGCTGCTCAGCCCCATGTGGAAAAACAATCTTCTATTCTGATCCTCCATCCAGCGCAGCTCGCTCCGGTCGGGATGTTCAGTTCCGAGCCCGGCGTTCAGGAGGCTCTGAAATGGGATTTGCCTGGAAATGGAAAACATAAACACAAGCAGCTTATTGCCCTGAACAAAAGCTTATTCTGCTCCAGAGAAGTGGGGGGGAGGAAACAGAAGTTAATTCATGGATAAAGCAAGGCAAATAAAATCCCGTCACGATCTCCTTTCCACCCTGTATAAATCCTTTGGGAAAGTGGGGATTTGCAGGCAGCCAGTGGAAAGATGGAGATCTTTCTCTGCAACTCCAACCCTCATGGGGGTAAAATCCTAAATATGCCAGTCCTCACCGAGGCACTGCCAGGCGGTGCAAACCTGCTCCATGGCCGTCCGGCCCCGCTGGAGTCATGGAATCACAAAACAATTTGGATTGGAAGGGATTTTCGAAGGGCATCCAGCTCCAAACCCCTGCCACAGGCAGGGACACCTTCCACTATCCCAGGTTGGTCCAAGCCCCACCTAAACTGGCCTTGGACACTTCCAGGGATCCAGGAGCAGCTACAGCTACTCTGGGAATTCCATTCCAGCACCTCATCACCCTCACAGGGAGGAATTCCTTCCCAGTATCCCATCCATCCCTGCCCTCTGGCAGTGGGAAGCCATTCCCTGTGTCCTGTCCCTCCATCCCTTGTCCCAAATCCCTCTCCAGCTCTCCTGGAGCCCCTTCAGGCACTGGAAGGGGTTTTGAGATCTCCCTGGATTCTTTCCTTCTCCAGGCTGGACATTCCCATCTCTCCCAGCCTGGTTCCAGAGCAGAGGGGCTCCAGCCCTTGGAGCATCTCCGTGGCCTCCTCTGGAATTGCTCCAGCAGCTCCACATCCTCCTGATGTTGGACTCCAGAGCTGGAGGAAGCTCTACAGGTGGGATCTCACCAGAGCAGGGCAGAGGGGCAGAATTCCCTCTTTTCCTCCTGCCCACACTGTGGGAGCAGCCTGGATCTCTGGATTCCTGAACCTCCATCTCCGGGATCCCCAAGTTCTTGAGCATCCACCACTGGATCAGCTTCTCCTGTAGCATCCATCCAAATATTCCCCAGGATAGCCCAGCACCACAAAATCCCCTCCTGGTCCAAATTCCCAAAGCGTGGAGCCAGGAAGAAATCTGCCTACCCTGCCTCCCCCAAATCCCTGCACAATTCCCAGAGCAGCAGCTGCTCTTTTCCCACCCAAAATCCACCGAAGGGACAAAACAGGGGCTGGGACACCAATCCCTGTGCCCTGCTGCCTTCCCCCCTGTCTCCAGATGTTCCTACCCCACTCTGCACTTCCCAGCGAGCTGAGGATGGACAAAATTCATGACAGAAGTGACTCCAATCCCGATCACTCCTGGGACTTCATTCCCAGCTCAGTGTCACGACAGGAACAGCCAGGAACTAAACCCACGGCAGCTGCTTTTCTTTATCCCGTTTTTCCCCCAT